TTTGGACATTTTAAAACTCTAATTTTCCATTTTTGTAGAGAAAGTGTAAAATTGTTATTTTTTGTGGGAGAATTGGCTGTCGAAAAATTGCGATTTTAGTGCTGGTATAGTAACCTTTTGGTTTGTTTATATTTCACAACTTGGACATAGCCTTAATTGCGCAACTTTTTCCCAGAGACACCTATACTTTATCTTTTATTGTTTAGCTGCTGTGTTAACTTTAAAAAAATTTGCAAACTGGCCGGTTTGCCCCACCCCCTGGGGTGAACCGGACCGTTTGGTTTTTTATTTATAATATTGCATTTACATAAACTACAATAATAAAAAACATAAAGAATCATGTGAACAAAGGTTGTAGTAATGAAAATAATAATACGGGATTAAATTTTAATTAAATAAATATTTTTTTTAATAAAAAAATGAAAATGTTTGAAATTATCAGAGAAACAATATTAAAGGGTCCAATTCTCATTGGAAGACAATTATTTTTCATTGTAACTAAATGTTTTAATGAAAGAAACATTTTATTTAAAAATAATTTTTATGAAACTTTAATTCAATGGAAATATCCTATGGCCGGTTTGCCCCACAGGCCCATTTTGAGAATAAATGTTTGTCAAAAAGAAACGCTTTGCAAATTCATCAAAGTTTTTGGTGGTAAATATTCCTGAGGTGTGTACCTTCAAAACCCAAGACCTAATATTTGGAAATATTACACGATTTCCTCAGAATTTCCTTAAGAAAAAATTCGTTAATGTGTAGAAAAAAACTAAAAAAAAAACTTTTGCTCCCAGCGTTGCATAAACAAAAGTAAAAAATGTCAAATTGAAAAAATAAGGTATACTATAACATATGGTTGTTTCAAATTTCTAAATAGCACTTTTGACAATTTCGCCATTTCGGAGATATTGACACCGGGCCGGTTTGCCCCACTCTCCCCTAATGCTTTGAAATTTAAAAAATTTCATTACATACTCAATAGAATAAATTAAACTAAATAAAGGGTCAGAATTTCTCAAACGGATCACCTAGAACTAAAAAATTTTCTTTTTGAACCAAAATAGTTTTTTTTACTCTTAATATGGTTCAAAAGAATCCCTGAAAATATTAAGCCAAAAAAAAATTTTTGTAAAAGTTAAATTAACAATTGAATTTTTTAGTACTGCTAAATTAACAAATTTTTTTCTCGAGTTCTATTTGACGGATTTTAAAATTAAAATATTGGTTTTTTTCGTCTTGAATTGCACTATTTGAATATATTTTTTGTTTTTAAATTTTTTTATTTTTTATAATTTTTTATATAATTTGTTTATAGAATGTTAATAAACAAATATGTTCTTCATGTCCTAACAGAAAATTAAAATTTTATTCTATTCCTTAAATGTCTCCGAGTGTAAAACCGTTTCGAAAAAAATGAGCCTCAATTAGAAAAAAAGTTATTAATTAAAAACTGCAGCCATGTAGGGGTTTATGTGACGTTAAACTCACCCCGCGCGCATTGGCATTTTTTTCAAAATTGTCTGTATCCTACAAATTTTATCGGATTTTCATGGACTTGGACTTAAATTAAAGGGGATAAAATTTCTAAGAGATCCCACGAAACCAATTTTTGAATTTTAAATTGTTTATATTTTTTTGTTACTCAAAGTTAACAATTTACAATATTTTTAGAAAAAATCATGATTACTTTTTTATTTTTTAGTTGCAGATGATTGGAATCAATTTTAATTAGTCCAGCATGCCCACCAGACAAATAATAATGTATAATACAATTTATTTAAATTGTTGCAAACAATGCTTATTAACAAATAGATAACTTTGGTTCTTTTTTATAAACAAAATTTTTTTTTTCAGATATATTTATATTTATTTAAGTAATCTATGTCGATTTTGGAAAATTTTATTTTGAATTTAATTATTACTATTGTTATTAACAATCATATGAACAATAATCTAGTTTCTTTGACATTTGTAAACATTTTAGGCATTTTTTAAACATAAAATGTCTATATAATATATATATTCTTTCAAAAACTTTAAAAATTTTTTAGCATAAACAATTACATTTGTTGTAAACAAATTATTTACTTTTTAAACAAATAAATGGCTTATTTCTGCAAAAAGAAAAATTATTTTTCGTATTTGAACGACTTTAAATTCATGTAAAGCTCTACTTGATTATTGATAACTAGATTATTGTCCTTATGATTGTTAATAACAATAGTAATTATAAAATTTAAAATAATTTTTTATCAAAATCGACATAGATTCCCAGGCGCAAAAGACCAATGCTGACGATGGATTGAAGCTTGATTCAGTCTTGAACGCCCAGCGTGGGTAACCCAGTGTTGAAGCAGTCTTTATATCACTGTCACTCAATATTGATTCAGCATTGGACACCAATGTTCGTCCCATGCTCGATTCAAGCCTCGGTCAATCTTCGTGAGTGAAGCTTGAATATCTAATCTTAATTCAATTCTGAATCAATCTTGACAGTTTATTTATTGACGTGTGCATTTAAAAATATCAAATATAAATATTTATAAATTATTTAATATTAAAATATTTTTTATGATAATTTTATATACTATTTAAAAATTATTATCATTAAGATATCAATTGGTAAATAAATATTAATATTTATTTAGTATATAATATTTATATTAATTAATAATAATAATAATTATATATTATTATTATTATTATTATTATTATTATTATAATAAGAATAATAATAATTATTATTATTATTATATTATTTATTATTATTATTAATTATATAAGATTCATATAAATAAAGTTAAATTCTATATTATTATTTTTTTCTTGCTCAGTGTCAAATTATTGTTTTCAAAGTCCAAGAGTTTCGTTTGTCTGAAAAATTTTCAGTAAAAAAAATGTTCATTAGGGTGTAATAAATATTTATGCCTAGTAGTTTCACACTAGGATTAACTGTTTAGTAAATATGTATTATCAAAAAACTATTTTTTGTCAAACGCGTGCGATTAAACACAAATAACCTTGAGACTTTAGCATTGCCAACTTAAGAGTTTAACGTATGTGTTGAGTTGGTAATGCTGGAGTTTCAAGGTTATTTGTGTTTAGCTGCGCGTGTTTGCCAAAAAATAGTTTTTTGATAATATTTACTAAACAGTTAATCCTAGTGTAAAATTACTAAGCATAAATATTTATCACTACCTAATGAACATTTTTTTCACTAATAATTTTTCAGATAAACGAAACTCTTAATCTTTGAAAAAAATAATTTGACACTGTACAAGAAAAAAAATATATATATAATTTAACTTATAACATTATCATAAAAAATATTTGAATATTAAATAATTTATAAATATTTATATTTAATATTGTTCAGTGCACACGGTAATAAAGAAAGTGAATATTGTATCAAGATTGACCGAGTCTTGAATCGAGCATGGGACGAACATTGGTGTCCCATGCTGAATAAATATTGAGTGACGCGCCGTATATACAGAATATACGGCGCTGGCATTGAAATAGTAGATTAGGCGAGGTGCCTTCCAGCCTTCTGTGGCCGAGCGGTTTAAATGCGTGCGTTTAGGACTTCCGGTATGCGTTAGGGGCGGGGTGCGTGAGTTCGATCCCACATCTGAGCGAATATTTTTCATTCTTTGTTTTAAGCGTTATATCTAATAATAAAATTGTGTGTTGTGTTGTGAATAAAAAATGTGAATAAGTTTGTAAATAATATTAAAAAGTCTGCTGAAAAATCGAAAAAAAAATGTACCGATTAACAGAAAAATTGTTTTCTTTTACTAAAATTATTTTTTTAATATTACTATTTCAAATGACATTTATTGTTAGTAATATATTATCTATATGATAATAATATAATTATTATAATAGTAACTTAATGCCATTAAATTAACAAACGCATATAATATGAATAAAAATAATAACAATAATATTCATTACTATTTTTATTATAATTATTACTATTATTATTATTATTATATACAATTTATATATCCATTGAAAAATGTCTTTGGTTTTAACGCGATAGCTACTTATTTTTTATATTAAATAAAGTTAGCCCTTCTTCAGGTTGTAAGTCCGAATATACATTTATCATGCACGTTAAAATTATTCCAAGACTTATTGTTAACGATCAATTTCGTAAACAACTCAATCTACTGGTTTAAGGAAAGGAATTAATATACACAATTCACTTAAACGTTAATTTATTAAAATTTATTTTTAAATAGTGGATAATGAATAAAATGAGTTTAAAGTGTGAGTTAAAAAATTGAGTAGAGCTTACAAATAACGACTTGCTCTCTCAAAAGTGGCTAGGTAACTGACTAATAAAAGATGGAGAAAAGTGTTCAAAGAGGTTAAAATGAAAAATTTGACAACGCTGTACATAAATGAGAAACTTGGCAACAATGCGTACAATTTTGAAAAACGTGAGAAAATTTTGAAGATGGCAAGTTTTTGAGAAAAAACAGATTTTAATTTTATTGCACTCATTGGCCAGGATGTCGCGACGAGAGTCATAAAGGGCTTAAGATTCAGGCCTGAGTGGTAGAGAAAAAAATGGAGGTACCTGGATTCATTTCTAGCCCGTTCTCTAAGTTTTTCAGTTTTTACATTTTACATATGCCGACCAAATGTTTTTAAATTAACAATGATATTTCATTTTCGCTAGCGAAGAAACAAAATTCTCCATTTATAATTTTTATAATAGAAATAATATAAAATGAAAAAGAGCTTAAAAACAAGTAATCTCATTTCCTTGATATTAATTATAAATTATTTATTTTGTGTTAATATTAGAATTTAACACTGAACACATTCCCCCCTTTGAGAGATTTTAATAATAATTGATCAACAGCAAAAGAAATGTTTAAAATTAAGAATTTTTTTTTTCACAGAATTAAAATTTAAAAATGATTTTAAGATCAAAATTGAAATTCAAAAAATTTGCTGTTACTCAAAACACAATATTCTTATAGTCTTTAAACATCTTGTTTCTTCTCTGAATAGTCGCAAAGAAGGGGTGAGATTTTTCTGACATTTCTGTTAAATTCTCCCTTTGTTGTTTTCACTTTCACAACACGAATGATACCGTCACTTCCTGGATAGGTTTCAATGATTCGACCCAAGGACCATTGACGAGGTGGCAAGTTGTCTTCTCGGAGGATAACTAGAGTGTCCTTTTTGATTTCGTGACTTCCTTTGTTCCATTTGGACCGTAGATTCTGCTCATTGATGTATTCCTTGTGCCATCTTTTCCAGAATTCTTGTTGTTTTTTCTGGATAAGTTCCCAAGTTGATAACCTGTTGATTGCTGTCTGCTCGAAGTTAGGTTCAGGTAAGCTCATTAGTGAATTGCCAGTTAGGAAGTGACCAGGAGTGAGTGCGATTAAATCATTAGGATCTGTGGAGATAGGAGTAAGAGGACGGGAATTTAGAATTGCCTCGATCTCGATTATCAGAGTATTGAATTGTTCGAATGTAACTAATTCATTACAAATTCTTTTTAAATGGTGTTTGAATGATTTGACGCCGGCTTCCCATAGTCCCCCAAAATTTGGTGAAAGTGGTGGAATAAAATGCCAGTTAATGCCCTTTTCGCTTAAATGTTGAAAAACAGTATCATTGTGTTTTTTCGATTGTAAGAATGAGTACAATTCCTTGATTTCGTTGTTTGCTCCTATAAAATTAGTCCCATTGTCCGAGTAGATATTTTTTGGTTTACCTCTTCTAGCAATAAATCGTTTAAATGCTCCAAGAAATCCTTCCGTGCTAAGATCTGTAACTACTTCCAAGTGAACTGCCTTTACAACTAGACAAACAAAGACACATACCCATACTTTAATTCGATTCTTGTTGCGATGTTTTTTCTCTTTGATATAAAAGTATCCACAGTAATCGATTCCCACGTTGTGAAAAGGTTTCGCTTCTGTGATTCTCAACTTTGGAATATTGCCCATGATATATTCACTCTTCGGAGGATCAGTTCTAACACAAGTTACACAAGTTTTAATAATTTTTCGAACTTGTTCTCGGCCATTTACAATCCAATAATTTTTTCGCAAAGCATACAATGTAGTTTGTGATCCAGCATGGCAGTTTGTGATGTGTTCATTCCTTATCAACAATGTAGTGATGTGATGATCCTTGGGTAGTAAACGAGGATGTTTTTCAGAGTAAGGTATATCTGAATTTTTTAATCGTCCACCTACACGTATGATACCATTATCATCGATGAACGGGTTAAATCCTTTCCATTTATGGTTTGGTGATAGACCTTGTTTCCTTTTTAGCTCTTTGATTTCCTCAGAAAATGCAGATTCTTGTACCAACTTAATGATCCTTTCGTTTGCTGTTAACAATTCACTAGCAGAAAGTGGACCTTTGTTTTTATTTTTGAACCGCAAACCAAAGGCGAATAATTTTCTTAAGAAGCCAATTGACGAAAATTTTAAAATCCATGGTGTTTCATTGTCAATTCTGTGTGAAGAATTGGATTCGAGAATCTCTTCATGTTTTGATTTGCCTTTCCAGTTGGTAATGAGACATTGAGTTTTTCTCAATTCTTGAGTTTCAGGCAGAATGGTTAATTCACTAATTGGCCAGTTAGATTCATCTTGGCTAAGCCAATTTGGTCCATTTTTCCAATTTATATCTTGTGTGAATTCATTAGGATATAATCCTCGTGAAAGATGATCGGCAGGGTTGTCTTCTGATCTCACATGTTTCCATTCTCCATCTTCAGTTTTTTGTTGTATATTTGAGACTCTGTTTCCGACAAACACTTGTAGTTTGTGTGGTGGCGTTTTAATCCAGTGCAACGCGATCATGGAATCTGACCAAAAAATTATTCGATTAATTGGATGTTTAATGGCCTTTCTAACTGTAGATGAAAGATCAGACAATAAAGATGCTGAACACAATTCTAAACGAGGTAAAGATGTAGTTTTAATTGGTGCAACACGGGATTTTGAGCAGAGCAACCGTGTTTGTGTTGTTCCTTGAGCATTTGTAGAACGTATGTAAATACATACACCATATCCCTTTTCACTTGCATCACAAAAGCCGTGAAGTTGAATATCCTCTGCTTCTGCAATAATTATTTTCCTATCGAATGAGATGTTGTTTAATTCAGTTAATTGAGTAGAGTATTTTTTCCAATCTGTAAAAATACTTAAAGGCACTGCGTCATCCCAATCAAGTTTTTCCAACCATAAACGATGAAGAATCATTCTTCCCTTTATTATTACTGGACCTAAAAATCCTAGCGGATCAAATATTTTGGATACTTCTGACAACATGATTCGCTTCGTCATTTTTAAATTTGTTGAGATGGGGAGAACCGTGTAAGCGATTTCATCTGTGTTTGACTTCCAATATAGGCCTAGAGTCTTGATGGTTGAATCTTCGGACAATTTTAACTTGACATTGACACTACCTTCTGGAAGACCTTCTAAGAGACGAGGGTCATTAGAGGCCCATTGGCGCATGTTTAATTGTCCTTTTTTCAGCAATTCAGAGACATCATCCCTTAATTTGATTGCTTCCTCGAAACTATCAGTTCCAGTTTGCAAATCATCGACGTAAATATCTTCTTTTATAACTCTCGCAGCTTCTGGAAATTCTTGACTGTAATCGTCAGCTAATTGTTGTAAACAACGAATAGCTAAAAATGGAGCGGCTGACAAACCAAATGTAATGGTATTCAATTCGAAAATTTGTTCCTTTCCGTTAACATCTCTCCACCAGATTTTTTGATATTTTCTATCTTCGTTTCTGATCCAAAATTGACGATACATTTTCTCAATATCACCAGTTAAGACGTATTGATGAGTAAGAAATCGAAGTAATAACGAAAATATATCAGCTTGAATAACAGGTCCGATCATCAGGTTGTCATTGAGAGAGAGGAAATTTTCGTCTTCTGCCGATCCGTCGTAAACAACTCTGAGATCCGTAGTGAGGCTAGCCAATTTTAAAACTGCGTGATGTGGCAAATAGAAACCTTCTTCTTCTTCCATTTCTTCTTAAATTGCAGTCATATGACCAAGGTCAATATACTCTTGCATTACAGCTGAGTATTTTTCTTCAATCTTTGGATTACGTTTAAATTTTCGCAGAAGAGATTTGAAACGATTTAAAGCTGCTTGTTTTGTTTTTCCTAAATTGGTTTCCTTTCCGTTGAATGGTAAAGCAACAATATATTTGTTGTCAGCATCTCGTTTGACGTTTTTCAAAAAATGGTCTTCACATGCTTGCTCTTCCTTGGACCAAATTCTGGTAGAAGAAATATCGTCCATTTCCCAAAAATTTTTTAATTTTCTTTCTATACCTGTTAACTGATTTTGTACCAGGGCCCTTGTGTTGTGTGTCGTATCCGATAATACACTTCCACCGATGAGCCATCCAAGACGTGTTTCTTGTAGTATCATGTCATAACAGTTGGATTCATTTAATCTAATTTGACCTTGACAAAATAAAGTAAGAGTCGTACCAACACTTAAAAGCATGTCTACAGGAGCAGGTTGATCAAATTTCGGGTCGGCTAATTGTAAACTCTTTGGAATATCAAGTTGTTCGCGAATCACTGGTTCGTTGGGAAACATACTTCCAATTTTTGGAACAGTCAAAAAATTTAATGTTTTTGAATATTTGCTAATTGGTCTTGGATTGAGAGTTAGCCATTCCTTCAATACAAAGTTCCAGTTTCTTCAGAGGTATGTTTAATCTTCTGGCTAAATTTTCTGTAATGAAGTTTGAACTAGATCCAGTGTCTAAAATCGTACGGCAGCGAATTGGTTTTTGGTTTATATCAAGTACAGTAATAAGTGCTGTAATAATGATATCTCGAGATGGTAGATTAGCAACAAGAGCTGTGACAACAGGGACAATGGATGGTGACTTTGATAATAGTCAAGATGAAGCTTGTCTTGATTGTAATTGTTCTTCATTTAGATGGACGAGATCATTGTGCCTCTTTTTACAAATTGAACAATGAGAGGCCTTGCAAAAACGGGTGCGATGAGTATTTTGAAAACAATTTAAGCAGAGACGAACATTTCTTGCTGCTTGGATTCGATCAGGTGCATTTAGTGCGAGAAATTTGTCACATTTATCCACTGAATGGTTTCCATTACAAATAAGACACTGTTGTTCTATGGTTGAAGTGATAAGTGAGTGAATTTTTTCAGTGTTTTTGCTCTTATTAATCGAACCTTTATGCTTAGTGTTTGAGTTATTTGTCGAATTAACATTCCGGTCTACCGAAGTTGTTCTGATAAATGTTAAGCGAGTAGCTTGTTCTCTCAAAAAATTCAAAATATCTTCATAATTCGGAACCTTATTTCCCTGCTTTGAACGATTCCATTCTCTTTCAGTCTCTTTGTCTAAACTACGTAAGATGACACGCGAGATGATAGTATTCCAATTTTCAATTTTTTCACCAAATGCCTTCATGGCAAGTAATTGTGTTTGTATGTGGTTAGTTAATTTTCGAATTTCTTCGGCTGAACTTTTCTTCATCACGGGAGTTTCTAACAGTAAATCGCAATGACGAAAAATAAGTACGTATTCTATGTCGTACGTTGATTCCAGCAATTTCCATGCAACAAGGTAATTTTCATCCGAAGGTTGAAACGCGTTTATTGTTTTTTCTGCTTCTCCAGTGAGAGTTCTTTTTAAATAGTCTAATCTTTGCGCATCTGTCAAGTTTTCACGATTGTGAATAGTTTGAATGAACCAGTCTCGATACATTCGCCAATTTTCTAATGTGCCATCGAATTTTTTAGCCTCTATTTTTGGAAGAGAAGAGAGATAATCAGATGATGCTGATTGTGAATATGTCGATCCTGATCGCGGGATTGAAGTTGCGCGGTTACGAAGCTCTGTTTCGAGGTTGGGTTCCTTGAGTTTTCTTATTAAAACCTTAATTTCTTCAAAATCAAAATAAATATTTTCTTCCTCTTCTTCGTGATTTTTGTCGGGCTCAAGTTCAATGAGTTCTAGTTGAATTTGTACTAACTTTATTAATTCCGAATCGATTATTGACACGTGACGTTCTGCATAATCCGCACTTGCATAGACTCCTCCTTCTTTTAAATAATTTAATAATTTCGTGATTCTACGCTTTAAGTTGCCGCGGTTTTGAACTAAAGTGCTCCGTCTGGCCTTTTGAACTTCGGTTAATTCTGACATTTTTATTTATCGAGATCTAGAGGACAAAGGAGGAAAAATAATAGATATGAAGGAAAGACAATTACAACAATATAATGAGCTTACCTTTGCTGGTCGTTGATGATTGTTGGTAGGTGGATGGCGATGTTCCAATCTCAGCTCCTTCTCAATCCTTGACTGCAGCTGCTTCACTTGTAAATTGTCCTTTTTGTTAACAGTTAATATTCTCAATAAATTAATGAGAAACACTGTCCACTTTACACACTTGAGTTCTTTCTCAGTAAATGATTTAGAATTTGCAATAACGAAAATAAAGTTTTACTGGTAAATTTGTTCACTATCCGGCTCGAAGGACCATGAAAAATGTCTTTGGTTTTAACGCGATAGCTACTTATTTTTTATATTAAATAAAGTTAGCCCTTCTTCAGGTTGTAAGTCCGAATATACATTTATCATGCACGTTAAAATTATTCCAAGACTTATTGTTAACGATCAATTTCGTAAACAACTCAATCTACTGGTTTAAGGAAAGGAATTAATATACACAATTCACTTAAACGTTAATTTATTAAAATTTATTTTTAAATAGTGGATAATGAATAAAATGAGTTTAAAGTGTGAGTTAAAAAATTGAGTAGAGCTTACAAATAACGACTTGCTCTCTCAAAAGTGGCTAGGTAACTGACTAATAAAAGATGGAGAAAAGTGTTCAAAGAGGTTAAAATGAAAAATTTGACAACGCTGTACATAAATGAGAAACTTGGCAACAATGCGTACAATTTTGAAAAACGTGAGAAAATTTTGAAGATGGCAAGTTTTTGAGAAAAAACAGATTTTAATTTTATTGCACTCATTGGCCAGGATGTCGCGACGAGAGTCATAAAGGGCTTAAGATTCAGGCCTGAGTGGTAGAGAAAAAAATGGAGGTACCTGGATTCATTTCTAGCCCGTTCTCTAAGTTTTTCAGTTTTTACATTTTACATATGCCGACCAAATATTTTTAAATTAACAATGATATTTCATTTTCGCTAGCGAAGAAACAAAATTCTCCATTTATAATTTTTATAATAGAAATAATATAAAATGAAAAAGAGCTTAAAAACAAGTAATCTCATTTCCTTGATATTAATTATAAATTATTTATTTTGTGTTAATATTAGAATTTAACACTGAACATTCATATTATATTGAATGAGCGCGAGAGACGCGTAAATTTGGGAACAGTGGAAGCAGCCTTGTTTCAGTCCTACATTAGGGTTCCGCAGCATTGATTGAACATTGAACGCCAATCTTCAACAAGGACTGGAGCGTCAGTCTTAAATAAGTGTTACATTATGGCTAGAAGCAACCTTGCTTCCGCCGTCCTACCGAGGCTTGATCAATGTTGACCAAGCCTCAACGAAGCTTTCGTAAAGCCTGAACCCAGCGTCAGTTCTCACCTGGGTTACTTAAATAATATAAATACAGTAAGAAAAGCTATCCGTCAGTCATAGGAAAGTATGGGAATCGCATAAGTCTGTCTCACTCCCACTCATGGGATATGACTGACGTGGTAGGTTTTCGTACTGTATATCTGAAAAAAAATTTTGTTTATAAAAAAGAAACAAAGTTATCTATTTGTTAATTAACATTGTTTGCAACAATTTAAATAAATTGTATTATACATTATTATTTGTCTGGTGGTCATGCTGGACTAATTAAAATTGATTCCAATCATCTGCAATGAAAAAATAAAAAAGTAAACAGGATTTTTTCTAAAAATATTGTAAATTGTTAACTTTGAGTAACAAAAAAAATATAAACAATTTAAAATTCAAAAATTGGTTTAGTGGGATCTCTTAGAAATTTTATCCCCTTTAATTTAAGACCAAGCCCATGAAAATCCGATAAAATTTGTAGGTTACAGACAATTTTGAAAAAAATGCCAATGCGCGCGGGGCGAGTTTAACGTCATATATAAAGCCCTACATAGCTGCAGTTTTTAATTAATAACTTTTTTTCTAATTGAGGCTCATTTTTTTTCGAAACGGTTTTACACTCGGAGACATTTAAGGAATAGAATACAATTTTAATTTTTTTGTTAGGACGTGAAGAACATATTTGTTTATTAACATTTTATAAACAAATTATATAAAAAATTATAAAAAATAAAAAAATTTAAAAACAAAAAATATATTCAAATAGTGCAATTTAAGACGAAAAAACCCATATTTTAATTTTAAAATCCGTCAACTAGAACTCGAGAAAAAAATTTGTTAATTTAGCAGTACTAAAAAATTCAATTGTTAATAACTTTTACAAAAATTTTTTTTTTGGCTTAATATTTTTAGGGATTCTTCTTAACCATATTAAGAGTCAAAAAAAACTATTTTGGTTCAAAAAGAAAATTTTTTAGTTTTAGGTGATTCGTTTGAGAAATTCTGACCCGAATATGTATTTATTTATATAGGGTAGTGCTTATTACTTCCGATTAATTAATACATTACTTAAAATCACAATAGAATAAAGTAATAAAAATGATTAATTTAATTGAGAAAATGTCAAAGCTTATGAAACTGAAGTTAACAAGATCTACAGGGAGTCCACAACAAATGTAGATGTCAGTGAACTTTTTCCATCTTTACATTTAAATACACTTGAAAAATATTTTTAATGTCCACAAAATGGCTTCAAAATATGTAAGTTTTAATTTTTTCGAATCTAAAAAAATTGTTTTGCGGTGTACGCTGTAAAAATCAAAATGCATATTTTTTTAAAAGAGATATTTTTTGAGGAAACAATAGGAGGATTTTTATTATTTTTCAATTTTTCGTAGCACTTGAAAGACAGATTATTTTTTATAATATTATAATATTATGGCTGTTTCTATTTCAATTCATGCAGGGCGAATAGGTTGAAGATTCTAAATCAAGTTTAATATGATTTTTCTTGTTTTTTAGGACAAATAAAGAGATACGTATTTTTTGGTTTGGCGAAAAAAAAATTTTTCGCAGAGTTATGAGTATTTGAAAATTTTAAGGCACATAGTGATTTTAGAGCTAAACAGCTGAAAAATTATTTTTAAATCTTTCTAGTTTTTACAAAAATCAATATTTTTCAATTCTGTTTCTTGATTTTAGTAGTATTTTTGATACTCTTTCTTTATAAAGTTGAAAATTTGAAAAATTTTGAAAATTAACAAAATGGCGGCCATTTTTTAAAAAATCAAAAAAGTCAATTTTCTCAAAAACATCATTTTTTAATTTTCTGCAAATTTTTGTGTGGTTTCTAGATGGAACAAGGAACTTTTTCCAAAAGGTCTCAGGTTCGCTAAAACTTTTTGGAAGTCGCTATAATTTTTTTTAGAAAATAAAAAAACTCATTATTTTGAGAAATGTGTCGACATGTGTGGACGTCTACATGAAAAGGGCCTATTTTGGCACTATTGGAGTTA